ACCATCTCACCTTCTTTCTGTGATGTTTACGATTCTCTTAAGAGGATAGACGACGTGATGCATTATTTGAGCTCTTTTTTGTTGGTTTTGCCCCTTTGAATGGTGTAAATGATCTTCGTTTTGGTCCTTCTAATGTCATTTCGGTCTTGCCTTAGATTTCATCCCATTATTACAGTACGTTGTTTCTTGGATAGTCGTAGTTTTTCTTCGAGATACGACTGAAGAAATATCGTCGTTTTCGTTTGTGCATCTTCTAGAAGTAACAAGCATCCACGGCTACCCGCTGCACAATTGTACGAGCCATTCGTTGGATCTGGGGTCATTCGGGAAATTTCGGGAGACTGTCGATCCGATTATATAATTTGCATACGCATTTAGGCACAAATCCGTTTCTGGCTTCGACTCCACCGTCAGTCGATAGCGAATTGGGTGGCAGCGAGGAACTTTTCGAATCGAAGTCGGCGGACGTAGTGCAACCTGACACAGGTGATCGTTTTCATTTTCGGTATAGACATTTTTATCCACTTAATACTGGACGAATTTCAACAAAATGTCGCACTAGGGGGCGTCTTTCTGATTAGTTGTCTTTCAGCAGTAAAATAAAAATGTATATGCAGACAGTATAACAATCTTGGCTGTTCTCTGTGGACCCACAGCGAATAAATGATCCATCACTAAAATCCAGTCTATGCAAATTGGCTGGGGGTAATCATTAACCTTCGATGTAGCCAGCCTAGACACGGGTAGCAGATCGATGAAGTGCGAACAATAGGGGCTGTGTGACGTGTTTGAATATGGTCATTTGGCAGTTACGAGAACTTCACTAGTATACTGTCCGGTACATGCGCCTTGCGATATATTCGTCTTGACCTATCTGATGGCTAACCAGATCAGATATCCTGTAGAGCAGCAAAGCTTAAACGATTTAAACGATCTCTTCGTAGGAAGAAAGCAAAAAAATTGCGAAGATTACGCACTATACTGAATACATTGCCTTCACACATGCGTCCTTGTCTGTAGCATAAAAATGGCCATAAATCAGTCTCACGATAAACTTTATGAATGAACAGTAATTTCTCTCCTTTCTCCAGTCGTCACGGAGTAAATGCGTTGAGCCTTTTTACGAGCATTCCTATTTATTCGTTTTCTGGTACATACTTATGAAAAGAGATTAGATGAGTTTACTTGTTGACATGCTTTTTCATGGCCCAGTTTACATGTTACATTGCCTCCACCTGGTCTCCATAATTTTTCGCGCTACCAGTTGCACGATCATCGCGGTTTATTTTCCGGAAAAGTTTCATATATGCTTCACTTTACATTGGCTGTAATTACTGTTACTCTAATTAATTAATCGAATATTTTGGTTTAGCGACTAAAACTCAGAGGGCATTCAAAACAGAGGGCAGCGGCAGTCCGTTTGACTTTTTCAAGCAAAATGCTGAAGGTAATTATATG